AAGTACAGGAAATAGCATTCAATGTATCTGGAGAGTAATATGTTAAAGTTTCTCTTTTTGTCTGAATAGGAAGACAGTTATAATTGACCAAGGGTTAGTAGCAGGTTTCCAGCCCCAGGTAGCAGAATGCGTGGGGCGAGTATGGGGAGTGGTGCTGGAGAACAAAGAGAGGTAGGCCCAGGAGGTTTCGTGATTTGACATGGGTCACACACCAGTCAAGGAGGCGAAGAAGCTACCAGAGGCACAGCTGGAGGGGACAGCACTCAAGAGCTGGGAAGTGCAAGAACAGACCCATGCAGCAGACAAAAAGCAAATAAAAATGCTGAGCAGGGAAAAACTATATGGCAAATGTTTTATGGCAAAAAGCCTGAGGCTCTTCTTAGAGAAAACAGCAATCAAAGGAATTCTATAGTGGAAGGTTCCTCCGTGGAAGGCTATATTGACCAACTGCTCCATTTTTAAAAGCTTGACCCATTTTCAAGTCTATTCTAAAATCTGAATTACAGTTCGGTCTTCAATAGCTCAGAGACTGAATCTGAGCTGCTCCCAAATACTTGTCCCCCTCCTTCCTTCGGCCCCTCAGTTCATCCTATTGCAAATATTCCTCCATATATATGAACATAGACATGAGTAAAAAATAAAGATAGGAATATAAAGATGAAGATAATAAACATTCAGATAAGTTACGTGTATGATACAAATTTGTAAACTGCATTTAGAAGCAAACTCAGGTTTTTCTCTCAGTTGCTAAACACTTTAATTTTGCTGGTTGGGCACAGTTTGTTCTCTTTTCTGCAGAATGTTGAGCTAAAGTATCTCTGAGGAGATATTGTCGCCAATATCTGTAAAAGGTGCTTTCAAATAATGTTTACCAAGTGTATCACATGTATATTTAAAGTTATTAAACTTTAAAACAGCTTGGTACTTCTAAATTCATTTTATATAATAATGACAAGTACTATTTATTGAGGTTAGAAGTTTATATGTTATGTCTAATAACAGACGTGGGTAACCATGATACCAAAAAGGCAACTCATCTATTCACGATCACAGAAGTATTAAGTGGGCTCGGTGCCCATAGCTTAGTGCTAGGGTGCCAGCTACATACACCAAAGGTGGAGGGTTCAAGCCCAGTCCTGGTCTGCTAAACAACAATGACAACTGCAACCAAAAAAAATGGCCAGGTTTGTGGCAGGCACCTGCGGTCCCAGCTACTCAGAGGCTGAGGCAAGAGAATCGCTTAAGCCCAAGAGTTTCAGGTTGCTGTGAGCTGTGATGCCACAGAACTCTACTGAGGGCAACATAATGAGACTCTGTCTCAAAAACAAAACAAAACAAAACAAAAAACTATTAAGTGGCAGAGCTGAGATTCAAACCTAGGCAGTTTAGTTCCAAAGTCTGTGTTTTTAACCAATTCACTAAGATAAGGAAAATAAATAAAATTATTTTGGGTAAAATTGTACAAAGACCAAGAAAAGATCTCAAAAGCAGCTAGTAAAAGACATCAGAATTTATTCAAAGCAGAATATATTCAAGGTTTAGCTCTCAACAGCAATGCAACAGAAGTGAGCAGATGACAACTTGAATGTGCTGAAATAAAATAATTTCCCATTATGAATTCTCTGTCTACCCCATGAAAGTTTATTTCACATGTGAATGTAAAACAATCACATTTATCAGGCAAACAAAAGTTTCAAGAGTGTTTGCCTCCAAAAGATCCTCACCAAAAGAAATTCTACAGCATGTACTCTAAAGAATTGATTCTGGAAGGAATCAATTCTCCCTCTAAAATGCATGGGGAAGTAAGAAGAAAGCAAATGGCAAAAATGTAGAACATTCTAAAGGAAAATATTTCTTATGTAAAACAATAAAAATGGTACTGTTTTGTGCTAAAAGACACACAGTAATACCACATAAGTCATCAGGGGAGTAAAACAGTCATTGACTGTAGACTTTAATAAGGTAAGTGTGTATGATGTCCTGAGGGTGCCACTAAAAGCACAGGGAAAGAGTACATAATTGCAAAATTCAAAGAAAAATAAATGATAAAAATTTAAAACAAAAGAAGAAGAGAAAGAAGAGAAAGACATTAAAGAAGAGAAAAACAAAAGCCAAGACAAGTAGAAAGATAAAACAACACAGTACACTTAAAACCAAAGAAGTCAGTATTTACACTGATGGATTAAATTCTCCAATCAGAAGAATTATTGCTAGACTAGATTTTAAAATGTCAAAGTACATACCTTTCATAAGAAACATCACTAAACACAAATTCATGGAAAGATTGAAAGGAAAAGGCTAGAAAAATGTTCACTATGAAAATAATAAGCAAAAGGAAGTCATTTTCCTATATTAACATCAAACAACACAGACTTTATGGGAAAAATATTATTGTAAAAAATTCATGTAATAAAAAAGTATGATTACAAAAAGGCACTATTATCAAAATGATGAAATGTTCAATTACCAAAAGATATAGCAGCTATCCATCTGATTTCATCTAAGATCACAGCCTCAAATTATGTAAAGCAAAATTTGAGAGAACTATAAGAAGAAACTAAAAATGACAATCACAGTGAGAGATTTAAACCCACTTCTCTTGGTAACTGATTTTTTGAAAACACAGACCAGGCGGGGCACCACGGCTCATGCCTGTAATCCTAGCAGCACTCTGGGAGGCTGAGGTGGGCAGATTGCTTGAGCTCAGGAGTTCAAGACCAGCCTGAGCAAGAGTGAGATTCCATCTTTAAGAAATAAAAAATAACCAGGCATTCTGGTGGGCACCTGTAGTCCCAGCTACTTAGGATGCTGAGGCAAAAGGATTGCTTGAGCCCAAGAGTTCGAGGTTGCTGTGAGCTATGATGTCATGGTACTCTACCAAGGACAACAAAGTGAGACTCTATTTTTAAAAAAATTAAAAGGCAGACAAAAGTAGAAAAATCAACAAGAATATAGATTATTTGAATAAGATTATCCAAACTGACCTACTAGACCCTATATTATAAGCACAGCCTCAACAACTGCAGAGTACAAAGACATTTTAAGAACAATCAATTATCTAAACAATGAACTCAGTGGTTTTCAACTTGCCATGAGAGGATTTTAGGTGTGCTGAGAAAAGTTTTAAAGATCATTAATTAAATTACTTTTGAAAGAGGTTCAAAGCATAGTAAGTACATTTATTTTGTATGCACTGGAGTTTAACTATAAGTTTAAGTGTAGTGTGAGATAAAAAGGTTGAAAAACACTGAATTAACCTCTCTTTTAGAAAAACAATCAAGTTTCAACAAATGTCAATCATAAAGAACACTGTATTACCACAAGACAATATAGTTTAGAAACAGACAACAAAAGATAAGTAGAAAAGTTCCATATAGTTTGCAATTTGAGAAACACATGTCAAATGGCTCATGAATCAAAAAAGAATCCCCAAATTACAAAACTATTTTTAACCAAATGATGATACAATGCTATAATCAAAAACTTTGGGCATGTAGCTAAGGCAATGTTTAGAAAGAAATTCATACCCTTAAAAATTGTATACTATGTAGGAAAAAGCTGAATATTGAGCTAAACATCTATCTCAATGAGGCAATAGTTAGGAAAAGAAAAATGTGGAAGAAAGAGACTTGGATTAATGAAATAAAACTAATGGAAAACTTCTAGTTCCAATGTTAAAGAAAAATTAAGAGAATACATGGCAATGTTAAAGAAAATTAAGAGAATACACAAATAACCAATATAAGGGATGAAAATGGGTACATCATTATAGATACATCAGATACATTAAAATATGGGAAAAATTTAAATGAGACGAGCAAATTCTGAGAAATAGTAACTTAAATAAAACTGACTCAGAAGAAATAGAAAGCCCCAACATCCTATAAATAAGGGTGATAGAGTATTTAAAACTTGGTTTGTCACACACACTGACCATCAGAACAGATATCGATCTAATCAGATGTGACACCAACTCTGAAAACCAGTAGACCAGTACTAATGCTTAAAGACTGCCTCAATTTTTTTTTTTTTTTTTTAGAGACAGAGTCTCACTTTGTTGCCCTTGGTAGAAGTAGCTGGGACCACAGGTGCCCACCACAATGCCCAGCTATTTTTTGTTGAAGTTCGGCTGAGGCTGAGCTCAAATCTGCCACCCTCAGTTTATGGGGCTGGCGCCCTACTCACTGAGCCACAGGCGCCACCCAAGACTGCCTCAACTATTATTACTATTTCTCATAAAGAAACACTAGGTTCACATGGCTTTCTTAATGCATTCTACCAAATATTAAAATTTTAAAAGTCATTCAAACTTACACAAACATCACCAGAAAATAGAAAAATACAGTATATTTATCAACTCATTTTATAATTCTAGCAAAAGCTTGATGTAAAAAGTACCTGACAAAAATAGTATAAAATATGAATAGCCCAATTTTACTCTTGACAACAGTGGCAAAAACTCAACACAAAACAATAGAAAACTGAATCTGGCAAAACAATATAATTTAATTTAATATAATTTAAGTATGACCAATCTGAATTTATCTCAGGAATGCACACTTGATTAAACATCATAAAATCAACTAAATATTAAAAGAGAAACAGTATAAAGTTATCTTCAATAGACACAGTAAAAGTCTAATTTTAATTCTAATTTTCTAATTCTAATTTTCATGATGAAAACTTTTAGCCAAGTGGTAGTAAATAAAAACTTCCTTAACATGATAAAGAATAATTACAAAAAAAGTAAAATGTCATATATAATGGTGACACATTGAGAATTTTCCCTTCAAGGCCAGGACAAAGGAAAATGATCAACTTGAACCAGACTTTCTCAAGATTCTTCTTTGCAAATGTATTCTACTAGATAATAAAGATTCTATATTGCTATCCATTCTTATCTATAGGGTAAGAAGATATCCTCAACTCTTCAAATTATAATGGCCTAGTTAAAATGTATATAGAAATGAAAGACTCAGTTCTATGATTATATTACATACCATAGGTTCTGTTTCCTTGGGAGGTTTGTCCAGAGGAGGAATGTACCACTGAAAGCAAAGTTCTTTGTGTAAAGCTTGTGTTGCCCTTTCTGATGTTATTGTGTCTGTAGAAGGAGGGCTGGTAAGGGGCTTTACAGATATGATGGAGTGTGCAGAACTTGTACAGCTTAACTAGGGAACAAACAAAAAGATCGGTTTAAGCACTGGCAATAAATTCATTCAGTATACGAAATTAATTGGCAACATGGAAAAACTCTGGGAATTCTCTCATCTTGTTTTGTAGAGTGAGATCTTAAAACCGACCCTGGATTACCACAGAGAAGATTCTCCTACAGTAAAAATATGCTTCAGAACTGAGGGGACTCAACAGATGTCTTCCTCTTTTTAAAAATTTTGGATTAATATGGAGGTATGTAGGATTAGGTTACACAGTTTGCTTTGGTAAGGTTAAAGTCTGACTTGTAGTTGTGTCCTTTACCCAGGAAGTTTGCAGTATGCCTGTGCAATGTACCTGGTGGGGGGAATTTATGCAATCCCACCCCCCACTTGAATTTAATTGAGGTTTTCTTTCACATGAGCCTGTAGTTAATCTACTAGTTCCAATTTAGTACTGAGTACGTGTGATACTTATTTTTCCATTCATTGACAGTTCACTTAAGAGAATGTTCTCTAAATTCATCCAGTTTGTTACAAAAGATAGGAAATCTCCAGCTTTTGTATAGCTGAATAGTATTCCACAGTATACATATACCACAATTTTTAAATCTGTTCATGTGTTGATGGGCACATGGGTTGTTTCCACATTTTTGCACTTGTGAATTGTGCTGCTCTAAGCATTCAAGTGCAAATGTCCTTATGGTAAAATGTCTTTTTTCTTTTGGGGTAGATACCTAGTAATGGGATTGCAGGATCATATGGTAGATAAATTTCCCAAGTGAAGATCTAGTGGCTAAAATGCCCATGGAACAATTTCAGTCTCAAAGTCTCAAAATAAAATAGGATACTGGTTTATTCACTGATGTTATACTCAGGGTGTGTTTGTAATTTATTATCTATTTCCAACAGCATTTTGTTGCTATGTGCAAAATAAGACACAGTTTTTGCTCTAAAGCTAAAATCCATTCATTCTAAAAGTTTAAAATCATTCTGTCCTTTAATGAATATGGCTGATTTGCAAGTTCAATCCTTGGTAAATTTAGGTCCAGCTTCTTTATGGAACTTGGTCACTGAATCAGGAGTCTTCAAGAAACATAAAGGTATAGAACATAATGGTTAATATCATAAATCATTTAATTAGTTGTTTAAGGTAAGCTAAGAAACTTACCTAAACTAAGAAAGCAAAGCAATTATCAACAAATGAGCAGGCTAGCCATGGAGATAATGATAGTGAAGACGGTATCTCAAGTCTAAAAAGGACCTTCCTCAGAGAAGTACAAACTACTTTCAAAATTAACTTCTTGCCATTCCTAAGATTACAGAATGGGAGATGGGAAACAGTTCCTCTATTATACTCTTTTTGACATCCAAGAATTTTCAAAGTTTAATGACCAAGGAAAGTATGTCAGTGGCCAGAAATAAATCCTTGGTGTTTCTATAACACTTTGTTTCCCCATTATTTCTGAGCCTATTCAAGACACAAGGACCATGAATGCAAGTATTCAAAATAAAATGAAAAGAGAAATAAAAACATTGACCTTTCAAGTTGCCTATTGATGAAAGAAAAAAAAATTTTGACTGAAAGGTAACATTAAATGTGAAAACTTTTCAAAAATGTCTAGCCACTGTTATAAAAAAAAGATAGTATAAGCCAGAACCCTCATTTCTGAAAGCATGATCAAAATGCACAATGAGCAAGATTATTAGTGCCTAATTAAGAGTAATTCTTTATCAGGAAGTTCATTTAAAAAAATCAAGCAAATAATTAATTCAAACAATTTCTCTTGTTTCTTCATATCTAAGTGACTTTTAGAGGTTCTGACAACTACTTCAGCAAATAATTCATATTTAATAGCTAGCTAAATATTAAAATATAAAAAGCAAATACCTCTTATTGCAATATATGCACTTTTTATTAGCATGGTGGTCCAATAATGATAAATCGCAATGGAACTCAGTATCAAAATGGGTATTTAATTTTCCATTATATTGAAAATACAATAATATCAAGTTGCTAATAGAATTCATTACATATGATAATCTATGAGTTATACACTGAGAACTTTTAATACATTTCTGTTATTCTTTGAAAGGAATAAAACAACAGGTCTACCAGGAGAACTCTCGTCTATAAACCACAAGACATTACTCAGACATTTGACCTAGATGGTTATAGTCACACAGTCTAAGCATGAGAGACTCATCATTGCACACAAGTTTAATCATACCCCTTTGGAAGAATTTTACTGTAAGTTGTTTGGCACCTTTGTTTTTCCATCATGAAACCCCAACAGACTTGACAACATGCAGAATCATACAACTGATAAATATAACACAGCAATGATTGTTCTGGAAGAGTCTCTCCTTTGTGGGGGAGAGTAGGTCTAAGTATCAAATTATGGAAATAGTTGGATTGAAATAGCCTCCTGAGTGATTAAAGGTTCAAAATGTTATTATAAAAACCAGCCAAGCTTGGTGTTTGTACATAAAAAAAAATCTGAAGGCTTTATGCTCATTACCTGTCTACCCCAGTGAAACGAACGTGATTATGTGGCTTGCACCTGTCAGGCAGGAGACAGTGATCTCCAGAGCTGATTATCCTGGGAGAGTGTTACACTAATTATATCAAAAAAGAGCAAACAGGGTAAAACAACTCTTCGATAACGCTGCTGCCGTTAGAAGTATCACATATATTTACAACGTATTTAAGGCTGTATGTTTGGGTCAGTATCCTTAGGAGCTGAGTAATATGGGCTGCCTTTTATACAAAAATACTCAAGCCGAGCTCCTTTTAGAACAATAGTTAGGAAGTCACATGTACTAGTTTCCGCATGCTGATATAATATTCACATGAATAAATCCATCAAAACCACTGTTCTCAGCCTTCCCATCCCCTCCTCCCTATCCAAAATACCCGAGTGTCTCTAGACACCTGACTGTAGTCCTCAGAGACAGTCTCAGTTCCCCTGGTGAATCAGAATCTGGTGGTAGATGGAATGGCTTCACCCACTGCCGCTGCTCTTTTCTGTGGGGAGGGTGAGACTTCATGTTACACTCCTGGCTTTTCTACCACCTCACTCGCGCCTCTTCCTTAGGGAGCATTATTTGATTGGTGAATTTGAGAATAATTTTGAGCATGTATGGTTCTGCCCTTTCTTCTTGGGAGTGAATAGTTTGTGAGAAGGGACAATTCTCTGCTCCCTCATTGGACAGATTTTAAGAGGCCCTTGTGAAGAAGCCTGTGATGACTCACTAATGTGGGGCTGGATTGGTAAATCTGCCTGCCCTGATACTCGGTACCAGGGAGACCATTCACCAGTAGATACAAAGAACATCCTACAATATCAATTTATGACTCATAAAGGTAGGTATTTTTTAAATTCCAATCTGTCTTACTCTTTCCTCGTATTTTGTGAATGATTTAGAATCTGGACAAGGAATGGGGTGGAGTGTCAGGCAGGCCATAGTACCCCAGTACCTGGGAAGGGAGAGGAAGTCATCTGAAAAATCTTACAGTGTGTTTATAATACATTTCCCTAAGGGCAAATACATAACCCCAATTGGGAATCATTTCTTTAGCTGAATTCTTAAAAATTCCTTACTGTATCTTTCCACTACTTTTAAAATACTCATAATTTATTGGTGGTTTCATGACTCTCTTGAGCAGGAATGCTCAAAAGAGTAATTCTTTTAAAACGTTATTATCTACCTAAAGCATAAGGTGGCTAGATTCTACTAGGATAAAATGAGTGAGGGTTTCCTCATTCTGGAGCAGTCACATTTTTAATTCTTTCACAACAGAAACAGGGACATGCCCAGTACAGGCAAGTCTATAACTACGAACATTAAAAAGCTAAATGAAAAACTCCAAAGTACAGAAAAATCAAAATAAAGGAGTGTTTTTCCCCGTTTTTAAGAATTCTGTGCAAATGAATCAATTTATCCATTTTACAAATATGTATGGACGCTTACAACATGGCACGTCCACTTGAGCTTTGCGCTAGAATCCTGAGCTCTGCACCTGCAAAGCAGAATAGCCCAGCTTCCTCCACAAACGTGCTCACCTTCTAGCCACCACTGTATCTGCTAGTGGCATCGCCATGTGCTAACGATCACAGGTAGAGGTTCCCAATGGCAAAAGAGGCTCTCTTCATTTCCTCTTCTCCACTTTCTATTTCTGAAGGTCATCAGATTTTTCTGTTGTTGTTTTCAATTTTCCTTCAGCACTATCTTTTACAGGCATCTCCTCCTTCCCATTCTTGTAGTCATAAACTTCATTATTTCATTGTCTCCTTGGATAACGGCCTTTCATCTATCCTTTGCCTATCGGCCTACTGTCAGTATTGCTAATAAAACTAATATATTTTAATTTTCACATTCTTTCTGCTATTATTAGCCCTGCCATTTTCTCTTTAAAAACTCCTCTGAAGTAACACAACTTTTTTTGTTGTAATCTGACCACGTGTAGACTATATGTACAGGGACTAAGCCTTACCCATTTGAGTTTTCTTTCTCCACCAACTAAGAGTGTCTCTGGTATATTGTAGGTGTTTACACACATTTATTGACTATCAAATATATATTCTTATTTCTTAATAAAATCCTTTACTTTTTCAGTATCTTCCAACTCACCATCTTGGTAGTTTCTTCACATATTACTGTTATTCAAGATGTTAGTAGCTTTAATTTTAAAAAAACCTCCATTTATATTTTTCTTTTTATGTCTCTATAATATGTACCTTAATAGAAGTTTTCATATTATATATTTTCAGAAAGTCTATCCAGTTTAATAATACTTCCCCAAATAAAAAAAATCTTTAAACTCTTCATTCATTTAAAAATTACCTCCATTGGCTATTTACATTTAAAATGGCAAAAAGTGCACACAGTGAATGGATTTAATTATTAAGTTAAGAGAAAGATACAAGAATTGGGCATAGATTTAGGAACTCTCACTCTGGTTTTCTTATAGGGTGATAATACTGAAATTTGTATAACTTTGTGGCCAAATGATTGCCTAAGAGATGTTTTATGCAGGAATCTAGAATATTCTAAGACATTTTAAAGATTATGAGCATAAGAGGACAAAATAGGGAGGATTTGGGGGAGGTCATGGTATATGACACACCCCTTGGGGGCAGGACACAATTATAAGAGGGACTTTACCTAACAAATTCAATCAGTGTAACCTAATTCTTTGTACCCTCAATAAACCCCAAACAATGATAAATAAATAAATAAATAACTTTATATAACACTGACTCATTGATTAGAGTTTTAATTATTTGAAATAAATATAGCATTATTTGGGGGGGGGGAAAGACAATATTTCAAATGTGAACTGTCCTAAAAACCCTTGATGTTTGGTTGGCCTACCCACATGTTAACACAGAAATGAGCCTTCCCAGACCTCTGAGGGAGCTAGAAATCTTTGTGCCAGGATAGATTTTAATTAATGTGCTTCCTTCAGCAATATAAGGATGATTCTAAGAAGTTTTATATAAATTTGTAATATTTTTAAAAGATTACCTTGGATGGTGCTTCATATAAGACTTTTTCTGGAAGAGGTGGATTTTCAAACCCTTGAAAAAGTTCTCTTGGAAATTCATCAATACAAGAAGAAGAGTACAGCTCTAAGAATTTTTTAAGGAAAAAATGCATTTCTTTCTGACGCAAAATCAACTCGGAGTTGTAAAGGGATGTGAGAAGTGTATCATCTGGCACAGAAATTCCGGATTCCAGCATTGAAGATGCTTAAGGAAGAAAAAAACCTTAGTTTAGGTTCATGGTCAATCATAGGAGGATCTCAATATTCTTGGCATTTGCTCATTAACCACTATCTCTGTTATCCCCACCCTGAGCTGCCTACAATCTGTGGCCAGTTTTTGAGATTATGCACTAAAGAGAATTGTTTCTTCCACACAGGAAGGAAAAAAATTCAGAGGCACAGGAGGATATTGCTGCAAGTTTTGTTTTTTTTATTTGAGACAGAGTCTCACTATGTCACCCTTGGTAGAGTGCTTGGTGTCACAGTTCACAGCAACCTCAAACTCTTGGGCTTAAGAGATTCTCTTGCCTCAGCCTCCCAAGTAGCTGGAACTACAAGCACCTGCCACAATGCCCAGCTATTTTTTTGTTGCAGTTATCATTATTGTTTAGCAGGCCCAGACGGGGTTTGAACGCGCCACTCTTGGTATATGTGGCCGTCTGTCACTGTAACCAACCACTGTGCTACGGGAGCCAAGCCTGCAAGTTTTAAATATTGACAATGGTGCCATATAGTCCCTATATTGGGGGCAATCCCCTTCCCCTCAACCCCCCTCCCCCAGATTTTAAGGCAAGAATTTGGATGCAGGTAGTTCATTGGAATAGTGATCTCAAGGAGCACAAGAGAGGGGATGGGCAAACTATGAATAGGGAAAGAATAAGAGCCCACAAGTTTGGGTGAATGGGCTGCAGCCAGAGACAGTGAGGGCTCAGCTCACTGGGACCCTCTGAGAAACCATGTGCAATTGTTCACTTTGGGAGACTGAGAGAGAAGCTCCTCACCTCAACAGTTGGAGGTTACTCCTGTGTGTAGGGTCCCTGGCACTGCAGACTGTGCGGCCTGCAGACTGGGCAAGCACTCCTGGCATCAGAGAAATTCCAGAGCAGGGAAGTGGCAAAATGTGGATACCTTACTTGAGAAGCGCCGGCCATGAACTCAGAAGTGAGCTGAGGCCTGGCTGCACTGCTCGCATCCACATCCTTCCTCTTTCAACTTTCCCTGTTCTGGCTCCCATTGCAATGGCACTTTCAGCCCTGACACCTTACTGAGTGATGCTTTTCCTGTGGCTAACTCCGGATAACTGTCTTAGCCACTCTATGACTCAGGCTGTTTTCCCTGCTGGCTTCGCCATCACGGGGCCCTGACATGGGTCCAAATATCTCTTCTGTCTATTTGGACTAATGAGAACACTGGGTCACCAATTTCATTTCACTAACAAAACACAATACACACTATCACAAAATCAAAAGAGAGGCTGATGTGAAAGGGATTTTACCAGTTTTTCTGGGTATTCTTTAGATAGTGATTAAAAAAGAAAAAACTTCATGGAGATAAATATCCCATCTGGAATTATGCATTTCTTCTCTCTCTCTTTCCTCAAAGCCAAAATTTCATCTTGTTCATTTTGTTCATCTTATAAGCTGTCACATTGTGATCACTAGTTCTTAGCTACTGTGAGCTAGGCACTACTTGGCAGTCTTGGGAAGCCTCTGGGTGCCCCCTTATCATGTTTTAAATATGTGCGATAAAATACATGGAATGCCTAAAGAAACCCCTTCCATTGAAATGCTATTCTTTCCAAAGGTCCATATACACCAGGTTAAAAAACCTCCAAAATTCTCATCTTCTGCTAACAGTTCACTCAGAAAGATGTCAAAAGCATCTTATATTTCTAAATAAGAATCATGCTATAAACCAGAACTGGGGAAAAGTGTGCTCTCTCTTAAAACATCAAAAACCTACCTAGCAGTTTGCTCATATTATTAATCCTTTGAAGGTGAATATAGTAGCGCAGTAGAAGGATCCAGGTAATATCCACTCTGGTCTGAGTCCTGGTACTGGCATCTACGTTTTCATATACGTCATCATTTTGGTACAAGAATGTATCGCAAGTCTGGAAGATAACCTGGTAGTCCTCTGAAAGTCAAAAAGATAATTTATGATACAATGTTATACTTCCCTTAAAAAATAACCATATACAGAAAAAGGCACAACTCCAAGGAAAGACTGACACACCCAACTAAATTCAGTTTAAAAGATGTCTGTATTAGAAAGACACCAAACATAAAATTAAAAGACAAACTACAGACAGAGAAAAAAATATTTAGAACATATGTGGATTATTTTTCTCTAATATGTATCAACATCTTGCACCGCTCAGTAAGAAGTTATCAAGCACTCCAGTTTTAACAGGCAATTCACAGAATGGTAAACTCACAGGACCAAAATTTTTTGCATCACAAAATATCAGGAAAATGCAACTGGAGATGAAATATCATTTTACAACCTTAAAGAATTGACAGACACCAAAATCTGAAAATAATAAACATTGGTAATGTGAAGAAACTGGGATTTTCATACACTACTTGGAAAGATCTAAATAACCTTTACACAGAATAATCCACCCCTATGTCTTACTTCTTTTCCTTATATTATTGGGTGAGGTAGGACATTTGGAATAATTTCAGATCAAAGCATTTTCTTACCCCTGATTTTAAAGGGAACAGTTTTAACATTTTAATATGAAGTATAAATGCTAGGTGGATATTTTTTTCCCATGTGTAACTTTTAAAATTAAGAAAACTTTCTTTGATTCCTATTTTTAGAATCATCAATAGTTGTTGAATTTTATTGAACTTTTCTACACTTACTCGAGATGATTATTTTTCTCTTTTAATCTATTTCATTTAATAGATTTTCTAATGTTGAATTGTATTAGCATTTCTGGAAATAATCCAATTTGACATGATATATCTCTTGATATGCTACATGTTTTGATCAAAGTCATACATTTACATAATCAAAAATAAAATCCCCTCTCCCCAGAGGCAAGCATTATTTACATTTGTACTTTAGTTCTTCCAGGGTTAGTTCCAGCGCTTAAAACAATTTCCTTATAGCAGTCTCCCAAATTATCAGTTCTTGACAATGTGTCTGTTGATTTTCTTCAGTGACAGATGAGATATTAGCTTATTCTTCAAAAATTATTTTTATCCATTTTTACTATTTTTATGTATCAATGATGTTCTGAAAGCTCCTCCTAATTCTAACCAATATAGGCAACAGCCCTTAATGTCTTTGCTTGTAAACTAATAGTATCTATGCCCCTTCACTGCCTTCTTGCCAGGTTTTCTGATTTCAAAATTAAAAACATTTACATTCTGTTCCATATCTACAATAAACCCTTCATTGTTTTGTTCACTGATTTCATTGAAAGTCAGTAAGGAATACTTAAATTATTGCAATGCTAAATGAATGGTTCACTCCAATATGACCAAATGGCTTTGGTCAAGAGTGTCACAACCTGTGATCCACAGTGGCTAAAGTTCTTAGCATGAAGATCAGATGTATTCTTTTTATTCACATCTGTCTCTAAATCATATCACAGTCTAATTCACTTCATATTTGGACCATGAATTCTTAAAAAATATTTTTTCCTAAAGTTTCTGAATGTCTTTTCCCTGTGGAGAGAAGTAATATTTGCATTCTTTACCATACCCCTAATACCATCTAACTTTAGTCATTCCATTAATGACTAGAAAGAATCCATTCATGACCTTGAAGACATTCTTGAGCTAGAAAACCTGTCACTCCAATTTATACTGATGTATTTCTAGACTTGCATAGCTGGACACATTGAGGGCCCTTTCTTCCTTCCCTCCCTCCTTTTCTTTCTTTCTTTTTTTCTATTATATCTTATACTTCTTTCTTCATTTGCAATTTTTTTTGTGGTAGGGTACATTCTTAACTAAATTTCTTTTAAAAAAGTTTACCAAAAGTAAACCACTTGAGTCCTTCCAAGGCCCTCATACGTAAATGACTCACACTTAGTCATTTAGTAAAAGATACGGTTTTAGGTGAAATTCATTTTCCCTTACAACTGGCCTACTGCTTTCTAGCATTGATCACTGCTGGTGAGAAACCAGATGCTACTCAAAGTCTGACTCCTTTCTGGTTGATTTGCATGGTCCACCTCTGGAATACTTTTTTTATCAATTTCCCATTATCTGAGGTGTTTTAAAATTTCATTTTGGGTCTAGGTCTAGGTCTTTTTTCACTCATCCTGTTTGAAACATGGTAGGCCTTTTTAACATGAAGGCTCATCTACCCCTTCAGCCCAGCCCAGCAAACTATTCTTTTTCTTTCTTTTTTTTTTTTGAGACGGAGCCTCAAGCTATCCCCCTGGGTAGAGTGCTATGGCCTCACAGCTCACAGCAACCTCCAACTCCTGGGCTCAAGAGAGTCTCCTGCCTCAGCCTCCCAAGTAGCTGGGACCACAGGCACCCACCACAGTGCCAGCCATTTTTTGGTTGCAGCCATCATTGTTGTTTTGGCGGGCCCGGGCTGGGGATTCGAACCCGCCACCTTAGGTGTATGTGGCTGGCGCCTTAGCCGATTGAGCCACAGGCACCGAGCCCCAGCAAACTATTCTTGTATTTATTTCTGTGATGATTGCCACCTGTTTACCTTCTCCCTTGTCTTTATCCTGAATGTCAATTAGCTGAATGTTGAAACTTCATCACTGAGATAGTATCCTTCTCTCTGTCTGTCTCTTTTCTCTCTACCCACCACCTCCCTCTTTCACTCCACATAACTGGGTACTTGATTTATGACAGACAAAACGCTGAAGTGTTCTGTGTTAATTGTATATTCACCTGGAAAAAATTAATCCTGACACAAGAATAAATTCCAGTTGAATTACAGATCTACATGTGAAAGATGAAACAAAGATAGGAAGATAGGAGGGTAGCTTTATGTTTTTTTTTTTTTTTTTTTTTTGAGACAGGGTCTCACTTTGTGGCCCTCAAAGTGTTACGGCATCATAGCTCACAGCAACCTCAAACTCCTGGGCTTAAGTGCTTCTCTTGCCTCAGCCTCCCAAGTAGCTGGGACTACAGGTGCCTGCCATACTGTCCGGCTATTTTTTGGTTGTAGTTATTGTTGTTTGGCAGGCCCGGGCTGAATTTGAAGCTGCCAGCTCCGGTGTATGTGGCTAGTGCCCTAGTTGCTGAGCTATAGGCATCAAGCCAAGGAAAAATTTCTAAAGCTGAACACAAAAAGCACAAACCATAAAGAATATTTATAACTGGACATCAAAATTATAAACTTTGGATTATCAAAAGATATTAACTGAATAAAATGGCAAAACAAAGTGGGAAAAGATATTTGCAATACATATAATCCACAAAAGGGTCCTACTCAGAATATCTGCCTTTGGTTTATATCTCTAAGGCAAAAATAGAAACCCCCAAGAAAAATAAGCATGGTACTTAAAGAAGAAGTTTCCCCTAAAAAACTATTCAAAAGCCAACATCCTATATATAATAGTCTTCAACCTCTTGGTCACCAAAATAAATTTTAAATTCAAAGTATTTAGGAGAACTTCTCGGCAGTATCCACTAAAGCTGAAAACATGGACGTCTCACGACCCAGCAATTCCTCTCCTTGGCATGTTCATAAAATGTATACTTCTGTGCATGAAAATGTGTAAGTATATTCGTAGCAGCATTATCCATGATAGCCCAAATGTTTATCAGCAGTAGGATGGGTAATAAATTGTGCTATTATACTCACCAGAAAGATAAATCACACAAATATAATGTTGAACCCAAGTCAGACATAAACGAATATGGGTTGTATTATTTCATTTACACAAAATCCCAACACTGGCCAAGCTAACTTGCTAGAAATCAGAAGGATGAGAGATTGACAGGAGCCAGGAGGGGTCATGGTCTTTAATTATATTTCTTGACCCAGAGATGGTCATGTGGGTGTCTCCTTTGTCATAATTAATCAAGCTATATCCTCATGATTTTGTTCTCTCATGTATTTATGTTATTATAGAGTAAAACATTTTTTATCTGAAAAAAGAAACACTTTTGTGGTGACTTATAGTTTAAAGATGTTGATTAAGAAAAGAGACCTCTTATGTGAGGACTACAAGCCTCTAAATTATCAGGCTCCACGAAACACAAGAGTAAGACAGCAGTTAGGTTCCACTCCCAGCTTTTGAAGCCAGAAGAGTGACCTACAAGATGAAGCTGAAGAAGCTAAGCTGGAGCAGGACAGCTCACCCAGTCTCCTTAGCCCACATGCTTTCTGCACATACCTCCCATGAGATTCTAGTTAAGGTTTCACCGGGACGGTGAGAATGTTTATCTCCAAAAATTCGGGAGGAGGTAGTCACAGGTAGACAATAAGTATTGTTGTATTGTGAGCATAAAAGTTACTTTGCTGTTGTCTTCTTTGATGATTCTTTTAGATATTTTGTTAGCATGAAGGTTACTTTTATGTTGTGGAAGTATTGTTACATTGTTGGGGTAAAGGCTACTTTCTGTCAGATAAAGTTTTCTAGGTTTGTTTCTTTGTGTTCCATTAAAAAATTATTAGAATTGTACCCATGGGAGAACATTGAGAGCTACTCTCCCTGATCTCCAGAACTACTGGCCTTCAGACAATAAAGCTTATTGGTAATCCCCATCTCTGCATTTGGTTGACAGTAACAGGCAGCCAGACCCTCTTTATTTGGTAACACCTTGAGCTCAGTAATCCTCCCTTGAAGCCGCTTGTTATGTCTAAACTGACTGATGCCACAAGTGGCAATAAATTAACCTATTAATGCTGCACGCTAGACACCAGAACCCACAGTTCAACATGTACAGCCAATCACCAATCATTGGTCGTTTCTGTAAACCAATGAGAATTCCTGACAAACGACCTTGTTGAATCAGCCCACCCCTCCTTCCTTCTTTTGCCTTTAAAAACTTGCTTGTCACAAAAGCCAAACAAAACTCATATCCAAAGTTACTTAGGTCTGAGTCTTTTGGGCAGCTGTCCTCATCTTGGCCCAAATAAATTCTACACTTAAATGAATTTTGCCTCAAGTTCTCTTGGTCAACAGTGTTCATATAATATAG